ACTAAGACATATAGCTTGTGTAATTTTAACATATTTGATGTACTATGTAATAAATGCCTTTGTAGAGTTTATATAGAGTTTATGATGTTAATATAATATTAATATTTTTCTCTTTTGACTTACATTTTTTCCTGCATGCAGCTAATATTCATTTTTAAAATTGGATTGTGCGCGACAAATTCTTTCCGTACAAGGCAAGAGTTATCGTCAGTAATAATTCGCGTCTTCACAAAAGAGCCTTTTCAAGAAAATCGTACCGTCTCCTCACAATGTAATTTACACACAAATGCATCCGCGCATATGTACGGGACACCTTCACTTAGACCAATTTCTATAGTGCCTATAACACTACGCTGGCCTTTTGTTTTCGTCGATTAAGAACGCCCACTGCTATTTAAACCACCACAATGTGCGCGGCTATATCATACATGTTTTGCCGCAGTCTGCTTACCAGATAGAGAGAAAGAGCGAGAAATTTTGTAATATCTCTCATAAGTTTACTTGTCGACATATTCAGTCGATTTCTGACGAAATGTCACGGTTTTATCACTTTATACCAATTAATTCTAATAAACTACACATTTTTTAAATAAATCATGATGTAATTTTAAATATACATCATACAGTGTATTATTTTGTATTTTAGGTATAGTATATAAAGAAGTAGAAGGTTTATTATAAAATAAAGTGTAGATATATATTATGTGTGTGTGTGTGTGTGTTACGATAATTTGTATCAAAAAATTAAATCTACACGCGATATATCATTATCTCGATATTATCTCGCATTTGCAATAAATCGATGCAATTTTAAGTGCCGCGAGGAGCATAGTCATTCTAAGGGAATTAATTAAATTCCATGTCGACAGTATACTTATAGAGAAATAGTTTCTTTGAGTAGCATAGCGCCTCTTGGTAGATCAATAAAACGCGCTTTGTGCAACGAATCTTTAAAGACCGTTTCCCATTCTTCCAATGATCATGAGTAAAGAAGGCAACAGGTTTGATTCTCTACATCTTTACATTCGATGCAAACCTTAAGGACCTTCTTAACTTTTTAACCTCTTTTTATTTTCATAGCGTTATGTCTATTGATCAGTACGGTTAGAGAGTCCTGTAAAAAATGCTTTTAAAACGTCTTTTTACGTTCTTCGGAATAAAATTGCTTTTTTACGATCAGTGCTTGGCAGTTTGGTCAAATATTTTCTCGAAAAATATATCTATTTTTTTATTTAATGACGCCAATTTAATTTCATATTGACATATAACTTTTAAAACATCACAATTAAATGTAGAATTATATTTTTATATTTTTCTCTTGCTTTCTCTTCGCATATTTTAAAAATATTTATAATTAAACACGCAATATATCTTGACAATATATATAATATTACATGTATAAAACGAATATATCACATTGATATTTTTTTAAATAAAAAATATATATTATACTTTACTTTGATATTAAATGAATGCTGAAATAAAGTGTAAATTCCTAAAAGATACAGAAAAAAACTATGATAAAAAATATATTTACAAAGAAAGTAAAAAGAGAATTAAGCTCTTGTTTTCTAAAATAAAATGAAAAGAAATTGTTTGGTGAAAGAGGTTTATGAAATATGCAGAATCTCAGTGAACCGTCAGGATTACATCCTATACAAATTTACAGTATAAAATTAAGAAACTTTGAAATTTGGTCATACTAGATTGATTCAATAGTCTAACTTGGTCTTACACTGTTCTGCTTGGTGAAACAGCGATCTGTTACAAGTGAACCATCTGTTACAAGTAATTATATATGTATAATAGCGAAATAATTTATTTACACTATATGTACTTCAAGATTATTAACTCTTAGAATTCCGTGTACTACGAAATATATGAACTACTACGAAATATAAAATGCATAAAAAATTTTGCGTGTGACAATAATTTATATAAATAATTAATGTAAAATAGCCAAAAATATTGTTGATTATATTTATATCTTAAATTCCTTAAATAAATATATGATTCTTTTTTTTTTCACTAAAATTAAAATTAATTTTGCAGCAAACATTTAAATTATTTATTGTTAAAAATTAAAATCTTTTTTGACTCATTTGATCAAAAACACTGTTAATTTTTTCATTCAAGATTCTTGATTTTTCATCGGTTACGCGAACAGATCGGAGCATAAAAGTGATATATATCGAAAAAGAATTATAAAAGTACTATCTCTCTTCATACATAAAAAACTGTTCGACTAGGCGGTGTTTGATGGTGTATAATCTGCTGTAATTAGAATACGAGCCAACAAAGAATCGAAGAACTAATCTAGAAAGATTTATCGATGTTTTATCTAATGAGATAAAGTCATGAAATCCACGATGCAAAGTTATTTATATGCTGCGTATAATTTTAATATATTTAACATTATATAAAAAAGTTTTGTAATAATAAACTCAATAGAAATTACTTTCTATCGAATTATATTTTTACAAATTTTCTATGATAGAATAGATTTTTTTATATTTGTATAATTTCTTAAAATTCAAAATTTTATTCCTCAGATATACATTTAGAAAAACAAGTGGTTTCAAAGCTACTGTAACTGAATGTAATATATTTAGACATATATAAAAGCTCTTTATAAAGGGTATGTTTTCGAAATGCTTCGGGTGCTTTGAAACCAATTACAAAGAATCGCATGCCCGAGATTCGCTTTAATGCAAATCGAATGGATTCGTTAATTTTTAGAATTTTAATTATCTGCGACATATACGCCTGTTACCGCTGGCATATTGGCAAGCTGTAATCCGTTCGATCAACCGATTCCCTTTATAAAGGACTTGTAAAGCTCTTTAAAAGCGTCAACGGCAGAGCTGGCTTGAGAATAAATCCTTGAATTTTCTATATTCGAGTAAGAACATGTTTTTCCCCCCGCAAATCATTTCTCGCGAATAATCTTAACGCTACCGATTCCAGAAATCGTCGAGAATTCGGCGTTATCTAAAATTTGAATCTACGATTTACCCGATACTTCGAATACGAAACGAGAAATGGGCGTGGGCGTTTTGCGTGCATTTTCCTTTCAACTATCATTTGCAATCGGTGATACGTTTATTTTACTATGTAAAACTTCTGAAATTTTGAATGCAGAAGCTAACAAGTATATCACTAAGTTGCGTTTAAAAAATGCACACAATCAAAATATAAATTTACTTTGAAATGTATACAAATGGTAAAGAAAACTTAATATGTTGGATATGTAAAATAGCTACGTTGTTAAAAACACGTGATTATAATATATACATACATATACATACATATGTATATATATATTATATATACATATATATATATATATATATATATATATATATATATATATATATATATGTATATGTATGTATATGTATGTATATATTATAATCACGTGTTTTTAACAACGCAGCTATTTCACATATGCAACACATTAAGTTTTCTTTACCATTCGTATACATTTCAAAGTAAATTTATATATATATATATATATATATATATATATATATATATATGTATATATATATATATATATATAATCCTAATAGCCTCTCTATAACCCTCATATAATATATAATATGAGATAAAAAGTAAGAAATTTTATCCGCATTCCAGTCAGGTAAGCACATATAATATAATACCCCAACACGTTAAAAAAACTTTTCATCCTCGAACAGGGGTTTCGGATCTTTATAGAAAAAATACCAATATTCCATAAAATTTACTGATAAATGAGTTTATATGCGTTAAAAAAAAATCGCACAAACATATATAATATAAATTATATATTAAAAACTTTTTATTAAAATTATTCAAATGTACATGTCTGTATATTTTTGAAAATATGTTGGAAAATATATATTTTACATATTAATTATTAATTATATATACATATATATTTTAAAAATAATTTTTGCAATATTTTTTCCAAAAAAGTGATTTTTTATTGTCTCAAAAATATCTCCATTATTTCACACTCCTATTTTCACTTATATATGAACTTTGGACGAAGACGTAACTAATTGTTACGGAATTTCTCCCAGCACGGATATAAACCGCAATAAAGCGACGCGAGATTGCGATTTTGGAAGAGCATGCTCAAAATGCCTGCCAAACATTCCTTATCTCTACAAGCACGTTGTAACACATTACTCGCTCAAAGTCATCGCTAGACCATTTCATCAAATTCGGTTAAACGTCAAACGAAATACAGCAATATAAAGGATAAATTGCACATGGTCTAAATTATCTAAACTATACTTTTCGATTTAATTGGAAAAAAAACTAATGTATCAGATACGATGTTGTTTCAAAATTGATTTGTAATTAAAATTAAACATAGAATAAAATGTAATATATAAAAAGTATCTTTTATTGATTGTTTTAAAATATTTAAAATGTTAAAGAGAGAAAAAAGAAATAATTAAAAATATATTTGAAATCATTTTATAATGGATATTATCAATTATAGAACTTTATGCAAGTTTTAAAAAAAAGTTATATCAAAAAATATTTGTCAAATATTTTTAAAGTAAATCTTGCTTTATCTAAAATTAATTTAAATTTAAATGTCGAATATAATAGATTAAATAGATCATGTTTATTTGAATTTGAATTTAATTATAAATTTTTTAAATAATGTAACATATGTGTTGACTTGATAAATTATAAAAAATTTATAATAAAAAAAAATGTATTCTATCAAAACGTAACTAAACAAAAATTGAGAGAATCCAGATATCGAATATACCGGATATATCAAATTTCATTCCAATAAAATTTATTTTTATATTCATATAAAAAACTACCGAATCTTAATTATATTTCCTATGAAGTACATTTAAAATTTCAATAAAATTGCTTATAGATTTCAAATCTATACGATTATATTCTGTTATAATATTAATGAGGATTATAAAGGTAATTCGTATATCATCCCAAGAAGAGGAATACGTAAAGGGAGAAATAAAACTCACCGCAGGTTGACGAATCTCGTTGATGATGGAGATGTAGAGAAATAGGCTTACGAGGTAGTTTCTAATGAGTCCCATCTTCTCGGAAGTTGATCAACCTGTCCCTCGCGACGCAAGCTTCCAAATGTGAGTATCGCTTCAGAACGTGTTGCCTCTTATATAGGGTGCATTTCAACCGGCGCAGGCGTTCCACCCTCTAGCGTTCTCCTCGCCATAGCGCACCCACATACGACGTACACGTAGTTGTGCCTTTCTGTTTTTTTTCTCCTCATCGATGATGGGACACGCACAAATCCTCCGGAGGAGGGTGAAACGGGCTATTTCAGAAGGAAAAAAAAGACGAAGATGTTTCAGAACTGCAACACGATTAATATTCGCGTTTATTGCATGTCGAAAAAAAAGTATGTTGCTCCGCATCCAAAGTAGTGACGTAATTTTTGTTAAAAAGTCTCTGCTACTTCCTACGCGTTTTTATTGTCAATAAATATACAAAGCGTTGTAAAAATTTGTAAAAAAGAATTAAAAATATTTGTCATTGATTGTATGTAATGGTAGCAAAAATTGTACGATACACACTTATATTGTTATAGAAATCGAGAATTTTGAAAACATATACATATAAATTCAAGTTGAATGAAGTTTTCATCATAAAGTTTTAATAAAGTTTCTCAAATAAAATCTTAGGTCTATAATATCCTAATTATAAAATTTTCAATGAAGTTTAAATACGATTATAAATGTGCATAATTTGATTGCATCCTTTTTAATATTAAACAATTATAAATATTATTAAAAAAATTAATTATTTATAACTATAATTATGTAAGAAAAATATATAATTTTAGATATTGCACAAATTAAAATCTGTCTTTTGTGAGAAGGAAATTTTCTGAGTAGGAAATGTATATTTGATATTTTTAAAATAGCACTATTCTTTCTTAAGCTTTATTGAGATTAAGTTTGTTGTTCTATAAAATTAAGTAATGATAAAAATAACTTTACCAGTATTTATAAAATTGCATTCAATTATAACATCAATTGTTTTTAATTGTTTTCAATTGTTGTTTAATTGTTGAAGTGTATACTTGACATTTTTAAAATAGCACCGTTCTTTCTTAAGCTTCATTGAGATTAAGTTTGTTGTTTCTATAAAATTAAGTAATAATAAGAATAACTTTACCAGTATTTATAAAATTGCATTCAATTATAGAACTAATCGTTTTTAATTGTTCATTTGCAGATTAATTTTTTAAATTATTTATATTATGATTTAAATATGTGTAGTAAATTGAAAATAGTAATCACGGATAACATCAAATTAATATTGAGATATAATATAATATGATCATAGTTATAACAAATTTTATAGCAAGAGAAAGATTTTTAAAGAAAATTTAGAAAAAAAATTTTCTCTCTGACAGTCTATTGCATATTCCATAAAATAAAATAAGAAAAAAATATTATATAAAGTTTAACTATAAATACTTTTATATTATATTTATCTATTTTACGTTTCGTTTCAATATTTGTTTATAATTTTGTAAATTATTTTTAACTAAATCATATATGCATCATTTTTTTCTTATTTTCGTTAGAATATGCTTTTATTGAATAAATCTCGGAAACATTCTATAAATATATATATATATATATATATATATATATATATATATAAATTTCTTAAGAATGGCATCATTATCATTATTATTATAGCATTTATTAAGCTGGTTAATAAACTTTTATATACAATATCTATTCTAACAATAAGTTAAGTTGCCCTGCGTATAAAAATATTAATAACGATAAGAGTTTTTTCCGATATTATCCCAATATTGGATAAAATTTAATTAGTCAATTTAAAAATATAAAAATTTGTGGAATAACTATTTCTCTACGTAATTAGAATATTCGCTAATATATATATGATCTTTAAGTAAAAATATATCTTTACGCGTTTGCTCCGAGGGACAGAATAAAAAATAAAATACGAATAGAAATTCTCATTATACACTGTCAATCGTGGGGAACCATGGGACCTGCAATAAGAACCAAGATATCATATAGTCTTATGACGTCCGTAGGATCGTATTTTGATACGGAGCCTTTTGGGAATCTAGAATTTCTGCTATAATTAACCGTATATATTTGCCACTGCGAATATTGTAAGATCGATATTCCGAATGCGAAGTAAACAGGAAGCAAATAGTAGGCTCAATCACTTTTCTCGATACAATTCTAAAAATAGAGGAAATTGCACAATTTGAAAAATTATAATGTTCGCAGAATATAAACATATATATAAAATACAAACTGATAAACTTTGTTATAATAAAAAAAATCATGTTCTTTATATAAAAAATCGATACAAAATCATAATTATGTTATATAAATCTGTATACATTAACAAATAATTATTAATAAAATATTGTTTGAATTTATATTGAAAATATAGACTTATATTTATTTTCACAAAGCAACTTTGTGTCTTTTCCTTGTGCACTTTGTTTATTTTTCTTTTCTAACATTTATATTTTTAAAAAATGTGATGAATATGAAACGTAAAATATGATATAATCCACAAAATCGCATCGTCAAAATATGCTATTGATTATATATATAAATAAAATGGCAGAAAAGAAAATTTGTCTTATATTTCCATTCCAACATTCTCTAATTTTATAATAAAATTAGATTAAATAACCACGTATATTAAAATATGCTGAAAAAAAATATGTTAAACAGGTGCCACAAAGAAAAATTAAGCCAAGTTAACTTTTTCTGGTTTATCATTCGTATAAAATATCATTTTATTACTATATAAGAGACATTTACATTCTCTACGTATGCATAAAATTTTCAATGATCTATCGCATAAGGAAAATTGAAGAAGTTACAGGATAATCATTGTCGTTCTTTATATTAACTTATATACGATTATATAATCATTATCATGATTAATTAGATTTGCATGTATTAATCACAGGCATGACTAAAACTACAGGATTCCATCATTTCATATTTTCGCACAAAGATTAATCAATATATTTCACTTTATAGATACATATCCTTGCGCATATATAAATTACTAATAAATATATATATATATATATATATATATATATATATATATATGTATATATATATATATATATATATATATATATATATGTATATATATTTGCCAGTTTTCGTACTTTGATTTTTTAATTCTTTATATTCATTCCTAAAAGTAACTCTGTTCACATAGATGCATTAGGTATAATAAAAACGATACATAGAAAGCATATTAATCAGTGAATATATATTGATCGTCCATCGATGTGTCAGTGATATACATGTATATTTACAATAATACATACTTAGATTTAAAAAAAAAACTAATTAGCTGATCGTCACCTAGTCATTGAAGTATTTAAGTGTATGCTGCGTGTAATGTAAAAATAAATGTGAAAGATTTTGTTACTAAATTACGACAAGAAAAAATTAGAAAGTAAGTTTAATTAGAACAGCAATTGAAACAGCATGCTGAAAAGATATATATTATATATATATATACGAATAAAGTCACTGTTTGCAAAGGTAAACATAATTGCGTTAATTAATTGATGTAGTAATGTTGAAATATCTTAGTCGTCAAAAAACCTATGATTCTGAAAAAAATTCTTATTAACCAAGATTTACTCCTTTGTCTCATAATATTTTCTCTGAAATATCTATATCACAAAGACAAAGAAAATGTTTAATTGTTAAATAATCACGATATTACAAAGGTCTGTATAAATTTATGTGCAATATATATTTCATAAATAGAAAGAACTTGTTGTTGTTCAAAAAAATAAATAATTATTGATAATTTTTTGTGTTTAATTAATAAGATACTTATTTCTAAAAATGGCAATTGCTATACTTGCTCAGGAACAACGCAACATGATATAATCGATGTAATTGCAATACAATATCATACGAAATTTGGTTCGAATTTTAATAATTTTTAATAAAAATATTAAAAATTAAATTTGTCAACTCCCACAAACTAATAACAAATGTAACACTGCTGTCATTATTAATTGTACGAAATGACTGAAATAAAAACTTTAAAAGTTGAGTAATGTGAAATCACGCAAAAGCCGTGTTAAAAAATTTTAAACTATGACTATACAAAAATTCAATCAAACTCAAAAATACAAAAAACTTAAATTTCTACAATCAAATTTTTTATCAATTTTAGTATACTTTAAATAGATCTCTTAAAATATTAAAGTAGCGAGTAATTTTCTTCAATATGCAAATATATACAAGTTGTAATATGGCATAATTAATAAAAGAATAATTAATTTTTAATCTTCGCAATACCAACAAAGATGTATTTTGCGCTCATCATTTATTAATATAATTTCTACTTTTATATAATTCAAATTTTTGAAAGAGAAAAAATGATTATTGTTTAGAAAATATACTTGAAAGATATAATAATTAACTTTGATTTTTAGAAAGAGATAAAGAAAACGGATATCAATTATGTGAACAAAAAATATAAAATTTACCAATATTGAAATATATATATATAATACAATATTATAAATACAATAAAGCAAAAAAATAATTTAAAGTTAAAAAGAAGGATATACCTATGTGAAAACATATTAAGCAATAATTTGAATAAAATAAATCAATTAAATAATTAAGTAAAAAAGAATTAAATAAAAAAAGAATGGAGTAAAAGAAAAAGAGAAAGGAAAGAGGGATTGAACAGCAAGTATAAAAAATAAGAAAATATTGATTATCATCTTTTGTTAATGTGTTTAAAAAAATAAAATTTTCTTTACTTTAAAAAAACATTTGGATCATTTCTCTTTTACAGAATTAATTCTATACAAACAAATTATTTTGCTTGAAAAGCATAGCAATATAAATTTCCGTTGCTCTATAATATATGCGACAAAATATGACCTGATATTGCGAGGATTAATGTAACTTTTAACACAGAAATGTTTTACAATCATGAGAAATATATCATTTAATAGACTTGCTGAATACTTACAGATAAAACGATTAAAACATCAATGGTAACAACTATAAAACAAAAATAATGAAGAAGCAATCATTAATTATGTGACGCAAATGAAAATGTTCATGACTATTATAATTAGAGTCAAATTATGAACTGTATAGAAATAAAAAAGTAAAGTGCAAAAATAATAATTTCAATATGAGACGTAACCATATTTTTATAATCAGTCATATTATTTGATAGTGAACCTAAAACTCGTAAGTCCGATCTATTCATTTTCTTTCTTTGTGACGAGTTTGTTTGTCATAGCTTCGTGATACGCGTTTAGCAGTTCTTGCGCGGTTAGTTTAGAACACACGCTTTTAAAAATATTAAGCAAACTGTCTTTGGATACTTCATCGTCCTCGATATGCTGGATAGTAAACTGAGACGTCCACAATTTGTCTAGGACGCGTCGAGCCAAAGTAGGAGATTGCTTTAACGCTTGTGCAATATTTTCCGAACTATTGTTTTGCAAAGCTATGTCCAGAACTACAGGGGCCGGAATAAGCTCCTCGTTCGCTACAGTATGGCTAATAATCACGTCCATCGGCAATCTTTGTAACATAGCATCCAAACTAGATAGTTCTGTCATGGGTTGCTTGATACCATCTTTGTCTTCCTGTTTCAATTTCTCCGAAAGCATCTCAACAAGTTCGGACGACGTGCATTTTTGACAGATCGCGCTTTTCACTTTGTTAAAATCGAAAACATTCAAAGACTCAGCTATACTAAGTTTCTTACTGTATACCTTAAGCACCTTATCAAAAAACTGTTTATCGTAACTGAAGATATCGGGCAACCTAAGGAGGACCTTGTTGACGCCACATGCCCGGCAGGCTGCTTTTAACGATGCATCACTAACTTGCTGTTTATTTTCCAAACCAAGCATTCTAATAGTTTCCTTCACCAGTTCTGTCTCTTTCAAATGTGCCATCTTTACCTAAAAAATAATTTCCTGCTAATTTATCCGATAACAACGATGTGTAATCGATATAATTGGTATAAGTTAAACAAAATTTACCTTGTATTGCAAAAGAATTGCCTCGGCACTGCATCTTCTAACTGCGCTTTCCAATACAAGATTTACGTCAATCTCATCCAGTAATTCCTCAAGCGCCATTTGAGACTCAACAGATCTTGTGACTTTTTGAACATTTGACGTCGCACAACTAATTTCGTCGGTACTAGTACCAACAGAGGAATGTGTAATGAGAAGTTCATCGTATGTATTTGAAGATTTAGCACGGCTTTTCGTTGTGTGCATGCTAACACTCGAAGATAATGATACTGCTTCATTCCTAGAGCTAAAAAATATAATAAAAACCATTATATGTAAATTATATGAGTATAGATTTTTTTATATTTTATAAAATAAAAAATTACGTACATTATGGTTTCAGAGAACGATGAGCCAATTGGCTCGGATTCAACATGATCTCTAGATATTTTAGATGAACCTTCAATAACGGTTGTCTCTTTCTGCTTGTTTCTTGTAGAAATATCAAATACTGATAAATCGGAATTTTTAGAACATGCAGGTTCCGATGAAATATCCATGTCGCTGGTAATAGATTCTGTTTTATCCAAGTATTCCGTAGGTGACCTCTCTCTCTGAAGGTTATTGGATTCATTTCTGGTAGATCGATGAAGTAACGCGTTACTTAAAGGTTCATCCTCGTCGTCTGTTGTGGATTCCATCTCGACATTAGGATCGTTAATTGATGCGTTTGACGTTTCGTCCATCGCTGACGAATGTATCCTTTTATAATTCAACTTCGTATCAGAGGATTCTGCTTGAAGAATAAACGTGTTTTCAAAATCTTTCAACACTCTCCTTACGAACGTAGGCTTTGGTACACCTTTCACGGGTATTCTGTTAATTTCGCGTTCCGATAATTGGGCAAGATCACCAATTGTGCGCAAGCTTCTATTCGAGAGATATGTACACAAGTTTCTCTTCCAAAGAGGATAAGTTAATCGTTCAACGATAATGTCGATAGGCATCATGCACGATGACAATGCTGGATAAATAGGCAGCTTAGATTCCAGAAACTCGGGATCAAGTTCCACGTTATTTTGTACCTCCTGGTTTTGAGTAGATTCTTGAGACATCGGTAAACTCGCGAATAAGGAATCCGTTACCGGTAAAGTGTCCTGTTCCATTATGTTCTCCGTCGCTTCTGTACTAGTACGTATCAGTTTTCCACAGAATACTTCGTCTGTATTCACAGTGGAATTTAACTCGGTAATATTTTGAAGATCTACAGTGTCTTCCATACTTGTCGTATTGTCATCTTTGGTAGATAAAGCCGCTATCACAGAATCATTGACCACGTTCAGTTTAATAGAGTCTACCGAATTATTTTGTACGGACGTATTAATATCATCGTTACTAATCTTGACTGATGCGATGTTATTCGTTGCATCCATTCCGTCAAAGATATCCTGTTGCGTTTCAGAATCTTCTGTTCCAACACAGTTCGCTGATGCAATGTCGACAAGATTTTTCGGATCTTCAGAAGGTAAAGCCTGATTTTCTGCGGCAAATGAATCTGCTGTTATTTCAATTTCCTGCGCTATTCCTAATTCCTCGGCGATCTTAATTCTCGTATGAGTATTTGCTTCAACGTTATCATTTTCTGGCAAATCGCTAGATGATCTCTTTATATCCATACCTTCAGAATATGCTTCAGATATTCTTGTTAGAGACTCATTTTTCTTATCGGTTTCCGAAACGGCTTCAGTATCATTTTCATTTTGAGACTCTTCAGTTACTAGTTTTTCTGTATCAAATGGTATAAGTTTAATCTTGGTCTGTTTGAATTTAACTGGAGAATCCTTTTTTGATATAGGACTGCGTGTTATAAAATATTTGTTAGTTTTTGTTGAAATTCTATATTGGCTACTTCATAACCCATTTCCTTTGATACTGGTGGATCTGCAAAGCTCACTCGTTTTCGCTATAAATAAAAATTTTTAATTAAATATATTTTATAAATACATAGAGATATAAGAGAGAAAGAAATATAAGAAACAATCGATATACAAATATGTAATACAAGATATATTATATAAAAGATAATCCTTAATTTAGAGATGTATTTTCGAGAGTATACATTCTGATACTGCATACTTATAATAATATAAATTGTATAAAATACCTTGTTAGGAGTTGAATCTAGATCTGCTTCTGGTACATTCGATCGTTGACGTTTAAGAATACTAGCACTTGGTGATGCGGTTAACGAAGGTGGATTAGCGCTTGACCATTCCAATATTGGTAGATCATCTTTTTCACACAAAGATGATATATTTCCTTCATTTTCTTTGTCACCTGAAAATTCCATCGATAAATAGTCCGATGTATTCTTGTCCAGTTTATTAAATGAAAGTTTCTCGCCATCGTTTCTCAAAGTAGTAAATGAATGTGATGAAGATGCACAATAATCGGCCGACTTCATATTACTGAAAATTTTCTCTTGTCGACTGCCAGAAGGTCCGCCTATTTTATCAATCTCTTTAGTTATCAGAGTCTTTTTACTCGTATCATTATCCGCATCCTTGGCTTTCAATTTTTTTACAGACGATTCATCTTCTACAGCCGGATTGTCACCTTCGAGTTGCGCTTGCTTTGTAACTAAACCTAGCATATGAGCAGCACGTCCTGTGAATGGTTTAAGTTTAGACAACACTTTAATACTGCTTTTCGGCGAAGAAAAATTTGTAGACTTGAGCGCTGACGAATTATCAACTGTTTTCTGACCTTCTGGAACTATAGTCTTTGTATTAGAACTATTAGTTTCCTGAATCGAGTCTTTATTTATACTATCTTTATTTCTTTCATTGTTTATTTCCATATTATCGTTAGGATCAGCTTCATCCGATTGTTCACATGGATCAGGTACAGTATTATCGTCAGAATCCATGGGAATAGATTCAGGTACATAATTTTTTTCCATAATTGCGTCAAAAGTTTTAACAGTAGCATTCTCCATTTTATTAATTTTAATAAAACATTGTTTCTCGCTGCACATTTTATCTAGTTTTATATCGGCATTAGAAATTTGTGAACTTTCTACAAAATCTTCAACTTCCTCTGAAGTTTGTTCACTTGGTTGTTCTGAAGATTCTACATCCAAGCTTTTAGAATTATTTGCATCAGACTTTTCATCTTCGGCTCTATTAATTGTAACATCTTGTATTGTTTGACTGGACGTTGGACTCATGTCTGTTAAATCTGTGTTCGAGTTTTTCAATTCAGGTACCTTGTCAATAGTATTACTGGATTTTTTCACATCTTTATTAACGTTTACATCACTCGTATTAACCTCTTCTGTCTGGAGCTGTCTGGTACTTCTTCTACCTCGTCTTTTAAATACTACTTGATCTGTATCATCTGTATCTTTTGTACTCTTCTCGTGCGTTTTTGAATATCTTTTTGATCCTTCTACAAATTTCGGATCTGAAGACTTCAGTTTGAAACTCTTATTGTCAGGTGTCCCGTACTTCCTTAATCCATGTTTCTTTCCTGCATCAATTTCTTGTGTCGACGTTTCTTTTTCTCCTTCATCCAAATGTTTGGCTCGACGACGATTAGCCGAATGGCAATCAAATACCATGTCGATTTTTAAACGAGTCATTTCATTTTTACACGTTTCTGACTAATATTGTTTTTATCTATATCCGAAGAGTTACCACTACGTGAGTTTTCACCACTGTCGTCATTAAAATCTTGTCGCTTTCGACGTTGCATTTCGTCCGTGTCTAATTCAGTATCCGATAATTTACGCTTAAAACTTTTTCTAGCTTCATTAGAATTTTCTTTAATATCAGTATCATCGTCTGACTTCTGTTTATCATTTGTACCAGGTTTTTCCTGAATAGTCTTCATTCTCAATGATCTTGATGTATTTGCCACATTTGAATCTTTCTGACCTTCAACAGCTTCATCACTTTTTAATGATGAATTTAACTTCGTTATGCTATTACGACGTCGTCGTTTCATATTATCTAACATCGACGGAGATGATTGTCGTTCTTGTATTTTATCTTCAGGAAATTCCTCTCGTGATTCGAAATTCAATTTTTTTGAAATGGATGCTATTGTAGTTGTAGCATCCGTTTCTTCCTTCACTTCCGATGCAATATTTTCTTCATTGAAAGATTCTGTATGTGAAGCTGAATTTGCTTGTTTCGATATATCCATATTTTCTTCTTGTTTTTCATTTAAACTCCCTTTCTCAACTTCTTTCATCGAACCTTCATTTTGCTTAGCCTCAGCGATATTTTCCTCAATATTTCCATCCAATTCGCTGCTATGGGTATCAACTTTATCCATCATGTTAGAAGACTTTGATTGCATAATCTTATTTTCCTTGTTGGCGTCATTATCGATAAGTTTTTGAGTTACAGAATCGCTCTTTTTATCATTGATTTTATCTGTTTCATTAATATGTTTGATTTTAATATCAAACCATTGTTGCAAGTTTTGAGAGTTTTGCGAGGACGATTGAGAAAGATCATTATACAATGCTGGTATATCTTCCCTTTTCCTCTTTAAACTTTCTTTTTGGTGTTCAGTCAAACAATTAACATCAAATTTCAAATCTGTTTTTATAAACACATAATCCTACAAATAAATTAGAATATAGACAAACATATAAAAATGTATATAAAATGAAATAAGAAATATATTATTTACTTGCGAATCAGGTTCAGGTAGTATAAGCGTATTTTTATCATTCTTTTCTGGTGGCTTACTGGATACTGATTTTGTATTAGTAGATTTTCTATTCAAGAAACTCCCAGCTATACGTATCTCTTTTGTTTGTCCTGCTTCTGCTTTTTCTTTGTTTCAGATTTTGTATGGGGTTTCTTTATTGTTTCTTCTATTTCATCTAAAATGCACTTAGCAGTACTGTCCAAGCAATCTTTAACTTCAAAAATAGATTGTGTAAAAGATCTTAAGTCTGGGTTCGGATGATTCAATGCAATTATAATTATTTCTTTAAACGACGATAAAAGTTCATGATTCAATTGTTTGCTAAGTCCTTTAAAAATACTAATTATATACTCCCACATGCTTGCAACCTATAAACAAAAGTTTATTAATATAAAGAGAATAGTTAGATAACAATGCAAAATCAAACTAAGCGCTTTATAAAAAACAATGGTGATATCATACTTCTTTAAAAAGTGCCTTTATTTGTGATGCAAGTATAAGTTTGATCACTGATTTACAACTATGCAGATACGATATTACTTTTCGTGGACTATGTCCATATACAGTGATAAGCATAGCTGATAACGTTTTCAAAGCAATTTCACAATTAAGATTTTGTGCATCATTAAGCGAAGTTATTATAACATCTTGTATGAGTTGTATAATGGATGGAATTTCATTTCGAGCTAAAACATGAATTATATACAGTAAATACTACAATAATCTATAAGCATTATTTCATGTAAAATATAATAATTGATTACACATACTTATTAAGGTTTCATAATCGAGAGTGCTCAATAAAACATCTAAACAATTTACAACAAAAGAACAACAATTTTTATTTGCATTTAAACACTCCCGCATCATATTTGCAGTATTCAGTAAGATTTCATTTGGCTTTACTTCACTCGAATCTGATTGCAATTCAAATTGTTTGTATAAAGCTTTCCATACCTTTGCCTCATTTTGTATCTGTAGCAAAATTATTAATGTATAAAATAAAGCTATTGCAAATATGTAGTAATAAAAATGTTAATATAAAATTATATCTATTATAAACCTGCTCAGGATTTTCCAAACATGTATACTGAAATGGAAGTGATAAAACTAATTTGATAGTTTTATAGTTATGTTCATTTCCATTAGCTTCACATTTTTTTAAATATTTTGTTAATATCTGTGCTACTACAGACCATAATTCGATGTAAGCTGTCCTGTAATACATTATTTATTTACATACATGCAAATATAAATTACAAATAAATTATATATTTTAACTTACGTATTTTCATGTGCGTCAATCGCTGATTTTAGATTTTCTATTATTGTTTCCAGAAATCCAAACACACCTGAGGAATATGTAAATTCTGGGCTTAAACATCGCTCCAGAAGGCACTTGATTGCATCGCTATTATAATCCCTGTAATATAGAAATAATAGATTATATAATATATATAAATAAAATACTATAAAGTATGAATATTGATTTTAATAAGTTTAATTTATACATACAAGATATACTTTGGCACTTCATCAAGTATTGGTGGTGATAAAAATTTTAATACCAATTCTGGTAAAGTATTATCGTGAAATTCAGTTTTTTCAATGATGTGCTTAACATCTGACAAAATTACATTGAAAATCATATCTTTTACCATAATTTTATCTATATGGTTTCCCAATTCAGTTATGACTAGTATCACATCTTTATACAGATGGTCCTGTAAAGGCATATAACACATTTGCTAAAATACACAAATATTTCATGTCATAAAAAATAGAAAAATTAAATATTTGTTAATAACCTTTATTTCAAGTTTTATATTTTTTATGTAATTCATCAAATTTGTCCATAATGTTTTACCGAGCTGAAAACGATTTTTCATTTCTTGATCTGTAAGTTGACCAAGAATAAGTAGGGCTTCTCCTACACTGTGTATAATGCTCTTAGAACATTCTTGAAACATCTCATCAGATATAGCATGAGGAAGTCTTTCTTCTAACATTGGAGCACAAACTGGAGATAGATCTTCCTTTGTAACAACTAATTGACACAAGGCATCTACAGCAACCACTTTTGTTCTAAAAAATCTTTTGCCTGGAGAGGCAACAACGTCAAATTTTGAAGAAAGCAGTGGTGTATCTCCAAGTGGTCCAAAACAATAGTTTAGAAATTGCGTGATAACAGGAGTAGCAAATTTTGCAATATCTTTATATAGTTTAACAATTAAGTGCCACCAAACTTCTAATTTTGTTAGTGCAATTAATTCGGTTTTACTGTTCTTAGTGTTTAACGGAATACAAAGTAACTTTATTCTTCTAGCAGTGGCGAGTTCTTGATGATCTAAAGCAAAATTGTCAATCAACAACTTCCATGAAAGGAATGCTTGTCTGCAATATAATAACAAATCTATTAGTTTTTTTTTTATATATAGTAAGAATATAATTAGAAAATTGTAGTAATCTTACCTGCGTATAATAGGATCAGTAGACTTGAAGGCCTTTTCCTCAACACTCAGTAAATTATTTATGAGACTAGCACCACGATGAAGATCAGTACCAAGGAACTGAATAGTAGTATTCCATTGAATAGTCCAATCTGGATCACATGCTGTTACTAACAGCAACATACGTTTACAATACGTGGATTGTAAATTGGTCTTATACTGTGTCCATAAGTCAGGATAATCTTTACGAATACGTAATGACGAGTTAGTTGCAACAGCTTGTTGCAAGACTTTCAAAGCAGGACCACGCTGACGCTTGTGTCCCATGTAGGCCAGTATTATAATCTTCTCCATTAATAATGTATCAAACTAAAACAAAACAAAAAAATATATATATAAGTATATAACATTTTTTCTAATCATAATTTAAAAAATTGTATATTTATACCCTCTGAACATTTTGATCAAACGTTATGGCAGCCAATCTGTACAATCTTCTCAAAAGAATAAGCGCATAAATGTTTGTATCTTCATCTAATTTTTGTTCATCCGATAAGGATTGGTGCTCAACCTTCGTCAACATTTGCAAATTATCTATGCATGCTGTTGGTGTTAACCATTCCATTAAATCAAGTTCTACATTCTGCATACAATCTTTAAAAAAACTTAAAGCTTGTGCATCATTGGCAGCTGCAGAAATAGCATTGTCATCCTCTACCACATCCAGTAACTTGAGTATTTTTAATCTACAATCAAAGAATATGGCATCTTGTTAAAATCTCCATAAATACGAATATTTATTATAACATAAATTTAACAAGACAAACCTTGTCCTTGTATCTGCTTGTAACATTGATTCAAAAATATGCAAAGGATGTGCTTTAAATTCTTTTACAATTGCATTAAGTGCACTCAATGCCTCGTTTTGCAAACTTCCTTCATGTTTTGTAAATGTTTCTATGACCACCCTGCACAAATCCTTGTAGCGTTCTTCTTTAATAGCACTACTTGATTCTAATTTTCTAGCTTGACTGCAATATAATAATATGTTAACGATCATTTTTCTACAAAGTGTCAGAACAAATTTTTATCATAGATGCAAATGCAATTTCTTTATCGAATACTATAGCTGTATATACATTGAACAATATATATTATAAATATAGATCTCTTAAATACAATATCGTTGCTCCATTTACTTAATTTTGCTAAACTTGCTCAATCTTTTTTGAATAAATGTAAATATAATATTTGAAATCATACATATTTGTCGTGCAATTATAAATTATAAATTTTTAATCTAATATATAATGTATACTATTTAAAATTTAATATATAATAAAATTTAATATATAATTTCACTATATGTGCAACACATCTTTTTTATAAATGTTTTTTGTTTTTAAATGTGGAATATTATTATAAATACAGAATGTACATCATAAAATTTAAGAGGGGAGCTTAATATCTAGTGATTCTCTTAACGACACATTAATTTACCCCACAAAGAGAGAAAAGAGGTTTTCGAATTCTCGAACACCTTGATCCGCTTTGTGAAATAAATAAATTGACATCAATTAAATGGTCACAATATCTCGCCTCTCTTCGTCTTGTCATGCCGAGCAAAGGATTTCACGAAGACGAGGTACTCGTGACAGTTTACCTGGAGATGTAGGTTAAAACTTCGCGCTTTTCCTTAGCATTGTTGTTCTCCTTCAACGTCTTCATAATCCTCGCGAAGGTCGTGCTCGTGATTGTGGCCATCTCTGGTCGCGTCTTCTGCCTTCCTATCTTTACCTCGCGACGATTACCGATCACTGTTCATCTCGAGCCCGGAGAACCGGCGCAGCTCGTTCCTCCACTTCCTCTTCTTCTTCCTGAATCGTTTTAAACGTGTGGCGAAATTCTTCCTCGTCCCGGAATGCGGGAAAAACTTTTGCGCCCGGGATGAATATGTCCGACAACACGATCGACGAAGCTTTACCACCGTTCTGTTCCGCGAGAAGGAGAGAGGTAGAAAGAGAAGAGAGAGAGAGAGAGAGAGAGAGAGAGAAAAGAAGAGAGAGAGAGAAACCTCTGCGAACCCTCTTCCGCGTCGCGAATTGCGCAAATGGCACGTTTGCGCGATCCGTCCGGATGACGTTCCGCTTCTCTCGCAGACCCTTCTCGAGCGCGTCGTTCTCTTCCTCTCTCGGATATTATCTTCTTTTCGCAATTCTCTGTCGCTCAGATCGGCGATAAACAAAAATAAACCCTCGCATTTGTTTTGCCGCACGCTCAGTTCAGCTTCGCGCGCCAGCCGAAGTTTACAAAGGCGCTCGTGTTTGTAGGATTTTATTACATACATATGTCTCCGCCTTCGGTTAGCGTTCTCATTTTAGCGGGAAAAACAGAAGATAAGCCCGCAATAATATGTCCCACTGCGTAATCCGCCGTTCTATACGTGAAACAAAAAATTAGACATGATTATATATTATTGTAATAAAAAGAAGCTGTCAACTGTCTGATTTTTTTGGAGTTTTTTTGCCGAATATATATATATATATATATATATATATATATATATATTATATTTTATGATATATATATTTTATATATATATACATATTTTTTTATAATATATATACATATTTTTTTAAAATACATATAAAATTCGCAAAAGAAAAACAATTGAGACGAAGTTTGACGTTTGCGGATCGACCAATCAGAGCGAAGCAGCCGGCCAGCTGATTAGTCAATTCGTTAGTCGTGTAAGACGGCCTTTAGATTTCTTTATTTCCGATTTTTCGCGATCCAGCGGTTGGCAAGACTGATCTCACCATTTCGAATCGACCAATGGGAAGCAAGGCACGTCGCTACCTCTACGTTGAACGGCGCAATCATCAGTTTGAAGCGATTTTCAGTTGTATTGCCGTTGTTTGAGAGCACGTTCATTTCTGAGGATCCGTAAAATCGTATCGCAGAATGTCGGATTTTAAGCAGCAATATAAGAATCCCCGTGCAGGTTTTGGACACGTGGAGCAAAGTAGAATTCTACGTGCTTATAAACATGTAGAAAATCGTAAGGAAGTCAGAACGCGAGCCTTCCAGAATAATCGGCAATTAGAAGATGTATCCGAACCCGCCAGTCCGCAATCCAGTAAGTTGAAAGAGCTTCTAATTGTTTAAAGCAACTGGTTTTTTTTTTATCTTGAAGCAGCTTTAGATATCGTTCATTCTTTTACTCTTATATGATATTTTTATCAGTACTACATTTTTATTTTTTATTTGGGTCTGCTGCTCAAAAATCATTGGTACACAATTGATGCTTAAATATTACATATTAAATATTAAATAAAATGAACACAATTACATGCCGTATATTTGATAATTCTAAGTAAATTTTGATAGCTTTTATATATTTTAAGTTTGCTAATAGAATTTAATTTAATAGTGAGAAAATATAATGTTAATTATATAAAAATATATAAATGATTAAATATTATGTATATATGTGTATGCAATAGAAGTCGATTTCTTTATAAAGGATATCTAGAAATCAAACAATTAACCTTTGCCAATACATTTCTTTTAAATAGAAAAAATGTAATCAGTAAGACAAAATATAAACAGAAATGAAAAATGTAAACATGATTAAAAATAATTTTATTTATTACATTATCACATATCACATATTAAAAAGAAGAAAATATATTTAATTTTTTTAATATTTCGAAAAGAAGTCTATTTCTTTATAAAGGATATCTAGAAATTAAACAATTAACCTTTACCAATACATTTCTTTTAAATAGAAAAATGTAATCAGTAAGACAAAATATAAACAGAAATGAAAAAATGTAAACATTGATTCAAAAATAATTTTATTTATTACATTATCACATATCACATATTAAAAAGAAGAAAATATGTTTAATTTTCTTAATATTTCGAAATGCTGTTTTCCATTTTTGATATAAGCATGATAAGAGAGATTGAATTTAATATATATAACTGTGTGATATTCATCTTGCTTTAATTTAGTATCAAACTGATCTTCATGATGAATTCTTTTCATAAATTAATTTCTGTTATGTATTTTCACTTTTACCTTGTATAATTTTGCACTCGTAAATAAATTGAGTAAGCTGAAATAAGAAATATAGCTACAATAAACAGATTGGATAAATATTGTCACTTTATTCTTATATATTTATTTTATTTATCAACAGTGAATTTGTGCTTTTGTCTTTATATTTATATTTTTATTATATCTTTTTAATTAAATTTTTGACTTAATGTTTATATAATTTTTCTTGTTTATATTCATAAAACATACTGATAAATGTTGATTATTTTATGTATGAAAACATCCTGTATATATGTGAAAGTAATAAATATCTTTTCTTTTCTTAACTTATCTATATTTATGGTAATTTATATAATGTTAAATTGACCAATCAAGAGTAAAAATGTATCTATTATTTTTAGCTAAAAATATCACGGATGTACGTATGAAAAATTGATAAAGTGGAGGGAAGAACGCAGTAAGAAAAAGAAGCTGGAAAATGCCACAAAAAAACCTGCATTTAAAGTTGGTATTGTTCATCATTCTCTGTGTTCTCCTGTGATTCGAAGTAATACATCAACTGCAACTGCAACAACATCTAAGCAAGCAACACAGTCAAATGTTGCACAAAAACGGATTACAAAAGCTACAGAAAAACGATTATTAGCTAGAGCAGCTAAGCGATCAGCTACTACAAAGAATATACCTTCAACTTCAATAAAAAGTCCAATGAACATCAAGAAGCCGACATCTAATAAAAAGAAATCATTTGCTCCTCCTAATTATGAATTTAGACCACCATCTGGATTGCATAAAATGCCTCTATTTGGTACGATACTAATAGAACAAACTCCACAGGAGAAGGGAGATTTTTTCATACAAGACAAATTGACAGAATATAAACCAATTGATATAAAAGAACAGAAAGATGTATCACAAAAGTCGTATGCAAAAATCCCTGATACCAATAACACTACAACAAAATTTAAAACTACAAGTCCAAAGTTATTGTCAAATAAACGAAAATCGTCGGAGAGATTAAATAAGTCAATTTGTGAGCCACATAATGTTAAATTTGAATTAAACAAAACAGCTAAATCATCATTGAAAGAACAGACAATACAAGACTCCTCAATAAATGAATTTTTAGATAATACTAATATGAAAACACCCTCACAAAAGAGTATCTCAAGTGATACATCTTCTGGTAAAGAAAATTGTAATATGGAAGATCTTATTCTCTTTTCTCCATATCTCACACTAAGCCGCGGCAAGAAGAATGCTAGAAAAGAACGACAGCAGCGACTTGGCATTGGTTGCTTATCCTCCGATGAAATTCCAACCAAAGACACTGTAATGAAAAATTTAAATATATCTGTGGAAGAAGAGGAACGCACCGCACAGTACTTCAAGTTTCTATTGAACAAAGAAACGGAGAGACTTAAGGAACTTTGTAGAAAATGGTTGGACATTAAATTAGAAAAGGATATTCCAGATGATGCTATGTATGAAATACATCAAGCAGTAGGACAGACAAATTTGCTAATAAATAAAAAGTTTGAACGATTTCGTGGTTTAGTAGAAGACTGTGAAGTTGGAAGAGGAGAAAAACTGGTTACATGTAGAGATTTGCAAGGATTTTGGGATATGACATACATGGAAGTCAGGGATTGTGACTCACGTTTTGAAAAACTAGAGCAACGACGAAATAGAGGATGGCAAGAGGAAGAATGCACCATTGCTAAACGTGCTGCTAAAAAACAAGTGCCTATTAAAAACAAATTGTATCTTCAAAGCCAAGTTCGCTACGATCATTAATCTTAGCTGCCAGAAAAAAGAAAATCGAAGCAAAAATATTAAATGAGGAAGATACAGAGTTGCAAGATACAAATATAAATGTGAAAGGTTCTACATCTTCCAAAAATAATAGAAGATCTGTAATTATTGATAATAATACTAATACTCAGCGTAGTACAAGAAAATCTAATTCTCATGATCTTACTTACAAACGCAAGTCAACTTCTGCTCGACGTGAAAGCTCTAGAACAAGCTTGGAACAGAAAGTGCAATCCAACAGTATGAGTCCATTTGTCACTATGAAGATAAGTCGAATGTGTAAAACACCAGAAGTTCAATTAGATGACACAATATCATATATTAATTCTGATCAAACACCTGGTAAAAGTATATTAAAGAAATCGGAAGAGTTAGCAGATAAAGAGATTCGTGTAAAATCTACACATAAAGTTAATTTTGATGATCAAATAGCTCTGAATGAAGTTCCTCTTGATGAAGAAATGCAGACTAAATTATTTTTATCTGCTGCTTTAAAGAAGATCGACAATTGCAATTTGGATGAATTAAGCCCACTAGACATTAACGCTGAAAGAAAATTAGACTTTGAAACCGAAGATTTTGATAGTTTTGATGATGTGGACGAAATTTCAGTCCAAATGCAAAGTTTAGTTGAAAAATCAAATAACTCTAAATTATCTATTCAAAATACCTTTAATTCTAGTGCACATTCATTTAATGACACAACATTCTCTCTGTCTGATAAAGAATCATCTTCAGATGTAAAAATATCTAAAAAAAATCAAAACTAAATATAAATATTATACCTGCAACACCATTACCAACTCACAGCGAGACATTTATTACTGGCAATGAAACAATTTTAAATATGACAGACATGGAACATCATGATTCAGGAACAAGAATACTTAGAAATAGAACTATTGCGACAAATAATACTCCTAAAAATAATAGCAAAATGGTAAGTTATAGTGTTAATAATCATGTTAAATCTTTTTTAATATTTAGAATACCTAAATGTTATAATTATAGAATAACATCTTAATCAAATATAAAATATTTAATAACAATTTTTTGATGCATCTTGCACATACATCTATTATACATAAATATATTTATATAGTATTATAATATAATAAGTAGAAACTAATAAAAAAAGAAATTTTTAGATGACTCCAAAAAGAAGCATTGGTAAAAAGGAAAAGACCCCTGTAAAATCACGTAAAACAAGTTTATTAAAATCATCACAAAAGGATGAAAATAAATATCTGACAAATAAAGACAGTATAATAGAGATGGAAAAACCGATATTAATGGAAAATATCGATAAGAAAAGAAGATCTTCTCGAAAAAGCGTTGCATTTAGTGGTAATATTTTTTTCAATATATGTATATATATATTAGAAATCATATACATACGACTACGTAATATCATATTTTATTATAGCAGAAGCATGTGTAGCATGTGCTGAAAATAAACCAGTGCTACCTATGACTCCTCATTCGAAACGAAATCGTAGTAAGACACCTTCGAGACAAAGTCAAAGCAAACATGCGTTTGATAAAGATCTTATGTCATGGGATACACCGAAACATCGTAAGTTTTATCAATATATAATACAAAGTGTGTAATGATTATATAGCAAAATATTCTATTAATTAAAATTGATTGATTTTAGCTCCTAATAGAGTCACGAGATCAAGTTTGAAAAATTAATGATATAATATTAATATAAAAAATTTTAATTATAGTACATTACTTACATATTACAATTAATGCCTTTTCATTACTTAATAGTCACGAGATCAAATTTGAAAAATTAATGATATAAAATTTTTAATTTTAATATATAACTTACATATTACAATTAATGTCTTTTTATTACTTATATTAACATTTGTATATAATGTTGTATTTAATAGAGTAAATAACACTTATGTGTAATTAAATATTTACATAAAACTTAGTTTATTAAACACAGCATATAATAAATATATATTAATAAATATATATCAATATAAGTAATGAAAAAGCATTAATTGTAAACGTAAGCAATACGCTATAACTAAAAATTTTTATAGCATATAATATTTCAGTATCAGCAAGTACTTACACATTTACAATGAATATTCTTAAATTATAAACAGGCTAAGAAACTCGACTATTTTATAGTACATTAATTTATGTGCATACACATTGCTAATACAAATATTATATATTATAACAATTTTTATTTATAGTGTATTGCTTACACTTACAATTAATTATAACTTTTATTTAGTAATTTTTACATTTTTTATTACTCATAGTATTAGCTTGAAACAGTTCTTGTATTTTTTTTACTTTTATTTAATAATTTTAATTATATAATCCTACTTTTTATTATATATTTAAATGTCTATATCTAAAATTCTACAAGGGCACACGTGTATAAAATTCTATTACTTAAATAAAATCATAGTTTTAGTTTATTTACACTATTTGTGTGTTTAAAAAACTAAATATTTTTTACACTTACAATTAATTGTAAGTGTAAAAAATAATTTAAGAATATTTATTGTAAAATACATTTTTATAATTTTATATATCTGATATAATTTTTTTCTGAAATGGCATTTGTAGATCTGTGACTTTGTAGAATTTTAGATATAAACATTTAAATATATAATAAAAAAGTAGGATAAGATCATTAAAATTACTAAATAAAAGTAAAAAAATACAAAAAGAATACAAGAACTGTTTCAAGCTAATACTATGAGTAATAAAAAATATAATGTATAATTTTATAAATCGTACAAAATATTTAGTTTTTTAAACACACGAATATTGTAAATAAACTAAAACTATGATTTTATTAAGTAATAGAATTTTAGATATAGACATTTAAATATCTAATAAAAAAATAGGATTATATGATTACTAAAAAAAAAGTAAAAAAAATACAAAAAAAGAATACAAGGTATAAAAACTGTTTCAAATTAATATTATGAGTAATAAAAAATATGTATAATTCTATAAAGCGTACAAAATATTTAGTTTCTTTAACACACAAATACTGTAAATAAAACTATATTGTTTTATTTAAGAAGCCCACCACAGTCTTACACTATTGTCTCTATGATTTTTAGTACTACATTGTCTTTGTCCGGAAGTAGTTGCTATTATTGGTAAACTTCTATGTAAACTTGTTCCATTTATACAATCTTTAGACAACTTTATTTTATATTTTGGATTTAAATCTTCGTAATCTGTAATTTCTGGTAATTCCCACACAGTGATATTTCCATCAATACCACCTATAAAATAAATGATATTAATAAAATACACTATTCTTATTCTGTTATTATTTTATGTATACTAACTCACCAGAGATTATTTGTTTACTGTTAGGTGTGACAGCAAACTGTATTCTTTGATTAGTATCTGACTGTCTTCCTTGAAAAGAATAAAGAACAGTTCCAGGATTACGAAGATCCCAACATAAAAATTCATTATTTTTTCGAACAGCAGAGAATAATTTCATTCCACAAGAACTAAATTCAACTTGGGTTACACCACTTCCAGTTTGGAAAGTACAAAGTGGTCCATCTTTGTACAATCCTAAGATATACAAAGTATAAGTAAATACAATCAAAATACTTCAAGATTACCCTATAATAAGTAGCATTACAAATAGAAATACATACCAATATATTTAGAATATGTGCCAAGGGCAATTAGACCTGGCATAATTGGATTTTCACGAATACATGAGACTAACCCATTCATATTTGGAAAATCGTGTTTAAATTGAATGGTATTTGTTTGACGTCCAGGACGATCTGTATCAAAAGTTCTCACAGCATTTTTGAAGCCACACCATATTTCTTTTCCTGAATTTACAAATTGAACACTAAGAGAGGCTTCTATTTCATCCATTCTGAAAAAAAGATATTTTTACTTTTGAATCTCAAATAAATGTAAATATTGATACTAGATAAATTTAAATATTGATACCAACTGATTGTAAGGTTGATACGTTGCACGCAGTTCTCCTGTAAATGCATCCCACAAGTGAACAGGACTCTCTTTACTAGTACTAAGAAAGCAACATGTTATAGGTTCCCACGAACTCATAAAGGGATACCAGCAAACGTCATATATGAGACCTCCTTCTTTAACAGTCAGAGCAGACTTAAAATCAGTCTGCATAAAGTCAGATGAGAATTGACCAGAATATAACTCTCTGGGGAGTTCATATATACGTATCCTAAAGTCTTCTGATGGAACAAGTAAACATGTACCATCTGGGGACCATTGACAACCTTTTGTAAAATTTTCATATAAATCTGTAGGCTGATATTCTTTGGTAGCTATGCATAATGGTCTTGGTGCTCTAGACCAGTTGTATTGAATGCAGGTAGATTCTGCCAATTCATCATTTGAATTTGTATTTCTTGGCTCGGTGAAATTTACAAGTTCACTATTTTCTATTTCTTCTGACGTTGTAGGATTCGTTATTTCTTTTGAGAATGATGTATCATGTGTTTCCTATAATTTAATAATAGTATAAGTTTAAGATTGATATTAATTGCTATACAATTTGCTCGACTAATATTGCATGATATATTAAATGATTTGTCATGCAAATATCTATATACTTAAAAAAATATTATTAATTAATATAATTTGAAATATAATCTATTAAACTTACAGGTAAAGTATGAAGGCACATTTCATTTGAGGTTATATTTGTTTGCTTGCTAAATTGATCACAAATTTCACTATTCATTCTAGTGCATACAGTACACAAGCACGGGTTTATATTTGATTACAACATAATTTTCACACGCTGTCTATATATTCTGGGGATCGAGTGTGTAACAGATCAATGACAAATGATTCTACTCTAACTCCATCACATTCCATTTCCATTTCCTCACTGTACGAAGAGATATCTTTTTCTTCTAAATTATTATTTTTTTTATATTATATAAATAAAAATTACGAATAATATTATTTATTTTCATTGCCAAATTTTTTCTTACAGAAATTTTATATTATTTTGTGTACTCTAATTAGTATATTTTTTATTATTTTAATTCTAATTATTTTATTTTATGTATAGTATACAATATTGCCATAATTTTATTATTTTATTCTTTCCATAGCTTTATTGTGTATGCAGAACTTTCTATTGATAATAAAAATAATGATTCCTATCTGTTATTTTGTCATGTATCATAGCGTTTTCAAATAAAGCGGGTTTTCATCGATCAATGCGATTGACCAATCACAACCATTTATTCGGAGAAATGGCTGTGATTGGTCGATGGCGCTAATAGTTCTTCATATTTTGATCGTGACGAAAATATACCTACAGTTAGCCATCTATATAACAGTATCTTGTCGATGGTGAAAATGGATGGTGGAAATCATAGACATACTTATTATGTCTATGGTGGAAATCGCGCGCGCGTTATATGCGTTAAAGTACGATTAGACAATTTTTTCAGTAAATATATGGTAAAAGCTCGTCCTCCTGCCGCACGAATTAAAGGTATTAATTGCATATCTATTAGTAAATATAAGATTGGAAACAGTGTGAGATTATAATTTAAAAATATATTATGTTTCTAAACTTCATTCGAAATTATTAGCCTAGAGCTCCCTTGTAGAAAACTTGTCACTAATAACGCCAATTAATCACTTATATACAGTATATACTGATATACAGTAATTTAAGTACTCGAAATAATGATTATATAAGTACTCGAAATAAGTGATAAATTGGCGTTAGTAGTGATACATTTCTATAAGGGCTTTTCGTTAGAAAGAGAGAGAGAGTCTCATGTTAGATAGAAAAAAAATTTTCAATTCAATTCTACGTGAGAAAATACTAAGTTTTATCGAATACATAAGGTCGTTTATGCAATATATATATGCGTATATTAATAATTGATTGCTTAAATATATGTATATATATATATCAACCATAGCAGTTGGAGCAGTTCATTAGTTAGCCACTATTTTTCTCTCTCTTCAAGCGTCTTCTTTTAATTTTCTTTCGTTTGATAAGCATAAGTTGCTTTCCATTTCCATATTAAAACTCAGATAAATCTCACTTTTGTATTTCCACAACATCTATGTTAAAGAAAGACAAAAGTGAGATTTATCTGAGTTTTGATATAAATATGGAAAGCATATATATACAACTATTATCGTAATACATGTAATAAAATTGTAACAGATCGCGGGAATCCTGATTGACAGCAGCGCAGCGAGACATCTAATCGCAGAGCCGGCTCGAGGAACGGAGCTAAAATGCTCCGGCCGGCATCGCGCCGTGGGTGGGAGTCTCTCTGCGGCCGTCCTGAGCTGCAATAAGTGAGTGAGGAGACTACCCGAAAGAGCCGCGCGCTTCACTCAGTCTGTCCGCGGCCGTCCGTCAAGCAGACTTCTCCGGCTGCCTTCGTTTCCCTCCCGTCGTTTCGAAGACCTCGTGGAAGACACATGTCGTCGGCTGATGCAGCTGCTACCGGCTGTCGCGCGCGCGTCAACGCGTTAATATAGATATTCGCGATCGTCAAGTCCGATACGGTAGTATAGTATATAGTGTCGCGGGTGCATTTTTCGGCTTACGTTTTTAATTGTATATGTATATATATATATGAAAGTGACTCGATACGCGGTGACAGAGTGTTCGTAGTGCATCCGGTGACAGTTCAGCGGACAAGATGTGGCTGAGATTTTTCTGCAGCCTCCTTATCGGGCTCGTGGGCCTTGGATCGTCACCCCGATGCATCGTCAACGGCTTCAACGTGGAGACGAAACATTACGCGGTGTATCGCATGGAGGAGAGATCTATGTTTGGGTTCTCTGTGTCGACGTATCGTGATCAATTCGCCCGTGGATGGTAAGTTTTTAATATTTTATTATAATAATTTCTGAAAATGAGATGGAATAATAAAATAATAACTGTCCGTATTTTGCTCCGAATACTGGCTTGAAATAACACAATAAATAGCAGGTTTTGAATTTCTGTTGTTATATCTGAAATGTGTGACGATATAGGACATTTTATAATAAGATATAATATATTTAAAAGTATATAAATAGTAAGAAAAATTAAAACGAAAATCTCCTGATTATTGATTACAATGTGTCACCAAATGAATCTTGCTCACCAATCTTAAAAAAGCGTAGGATAATTCGATGACACATATGCGATACCTTAGAAAGAAAAGTATATATATGTATTGCATTATATCCCACATCCTCTCTTGCGTACATATATTACATTAATTCATATAGCGTCATAATCATGTCTTTCAATTTTTTTGGAATTATTAAATTATATTAAAATTATGTGAAGGGATGCAGAAAAATTGACTCTTTATAAAAATTGTTACGTAGACAATCGAACACTAATTTAAGTTATTTTCTACCTTAACTTTTTATGCACTTTTGAATTACTTTCTATATTTTAATCTTTGCATATTAAAAAATTTTTATAAATAAATGACTGCCACGTAAAAACGATACAATTCTAATATAACAGAATTAACAGAAAAATGATTTTTTTTTATATGTAATTTTTAATATTTTAATATTTTTATATTTTATCGTATTTCATGTATAATTTTTTCTTCTTATTAGGCAAATGTTGATTTACCAATCAATTTTCAAATGATTAATTTATCCAGCTGAAATAAAAAAAACATCGTATTGGACATTTTAAATTAGCACGTTACTTGTTTTTAATTTCTATGTAAATAATCATGAAACCAAAAAATTATTTTGGAGTTGCGTTTATTTTTTTATAAAAAAAGACAAATAATAATTTGCGCTTTATATGGAACGTATTAATTTATAAAAATATTTATTATCAAAAATATAGAATTTTTTTCTTATTTTATATTACGAAATAAATCGTCATACATTACGAGATAGAAAGATAACCCTGTCGTTTGGGAGTATCATCGAGCAGGATAAGAGTCTCGTGTTTCATCTCAGGCTTTAATAACGAGCGATAATCTTCCATCCATCACGGGTAAGTATAAGCTTGAGGGACACTTTAGTACGGTTGCAACCCTTAAAAAGCGTCACGGTTCTTTTGCTGCGTCGCGATCTGCTGCCTTTCGTTCTCGAATTTCGTGACTCACGCCCACGAATAAACGTTTCTGCTCCAGCTCTCGCGCGTCTCGACGACGATTATAAATAATATTGACGAAACGGGGAAACGCGGCTAATAGCTCAGCCCGCATCGTCAGAATCGGCGGGAAAATCATCGTCGACCCTAACAGTAGCACAATGGAATATTGTGTTTACGATCGCTTGTACACGTTCGCAGGCGATTAGCGATTAGCTGCGACCTATGAGCAGCGAAGCAGAGCAAATGAGTCTATTTTCGTAGCACAATAGCTTTCAGAATTGGAAAAAAAAATTTTTGTCAAAGAAATCTACATGGAAAAAATTAGCTATTATAGCTAAATTTTAGCTGTTCATACACACAGCTATAGAATTCTCCGTTAAATTATAGTTAAAAAATATTAGTTACCATAGCTAAAATTTAGACATAATAACTAAAGTTTAAATTGTAGTAGAGACAGCAAAAATTTAGTTATGTGTGTGTGTGTGTGTGTGTGGTAATTAATTTTTTTCCGCGTATCATTGAATATAATTTTGAAAAAGAAATATTCAATAAATATTTTTTAAATTTAACTTAATACGTTGTTTATCAATGTTTATATAATTTTCTATTTAGACATGTATTTAAAGATCGTTATTATTCTAGAAAGATGAGAAAAAGGTATATTATCTTAATAAATAATATTACTGAAATGATGAAACATTAATAACGAAGAGGGAACAAGTCGGTGTTAAAAAGGCCGCAGGAAGTCCGGATTACACCGGGAGGTTTCGTAGGCGCTTATATTTAGGCCAGCTCGACGCGAGCTTTACGAGCTCTCGCGTTCGCGCGCTCGTTAATTCACCGTTCACGGGGATTAAAGCGCCCGCGATTGCCATTAAATCCCCGGAATAGAATGGGACCTCGTTATTTATACCTATCTGTTGATCGTTCGGCGTCCGATTCGATTTTTATCGCTCGTGTACAAACCAGCCGATATCGCGAAATCTTAACTTATAGGATCGCGAATAAAAACGGGCCATAATTGGATCGAGACAAATTTAAATCTCGTACAAATTTATCGCGTAGCGAGAAAAAATAAATTTCTTCGTCGCGGATATCATCACCGGAAATATCGGTCGGCGTGACCATTTAACCAGGTACGATGCTTTCAAATAGTAGGTACGAGACAATCCGTGATGCAGGATGTTAGGTCATCGCTACGACTGCACGGTGCATTATTTATGTGGGCGGTTCATCACTCTCGCGTCGCTCTGATTAATACTTTTGTAATCTGCGCGTTCGATCTACTACGATCTACTCTACATGATGTTATCTCCTTTTCACGGGTCTTTTCATTGATCGAATCCCTGTATTTAAACCTCACTCGACTGCATAAGCAGAGTGAAAAGAATCAATATGCTTTGTTTTAATAATATATTTATAGACAAATTTTAATATAAAATCTTGAAAATATTTTATTTTTTTAAATATTTTTTAAGAGAAAGAAATATGTTTTTATCTTAAATATTTATTTGAAATATATTTTCTTTTATATATGAAATTGCATAACTCAATCGTGTCATGTATATTAAAGTATATCGATTAAAAAACTGTTGAAGTTTGCTTAGTGATCTAATGACGAGTCACTGCAATATCTCTACGTATCTCTCGGTATTTTATATGTACATAAGTAGGTATATGCGCACATAATTTTTTTCTGAGCCACTGTAGTAGCAAGAGAGCTGAATATTTATATTTTACGACTAGAAACAGAAAGCTATTTCATAATATTAGATAGACAATCTTTATTTAAAACACATGAAACACGTATG